CCTAGTCTGAAGGGAAGCTCAGGCGAAAGCACTGGCTTCACATATTCATTTCCCAATCCAACTCCACTTTTATTTTGAACAGGCACAGACTAATTTAAGAATTGTGTTGTTTGGATATAGGAAATCTTTAAAGAGAACTTTCAGGAAAGGGTTGAACTAATATGAGGCCTGTTTGCTGTCTCATCTCCACAGTTAGAATTCTGAGGTAACTGTGTCCGAGGATGTTCAGCACCCAAACCCCATAATGCCTACATGGCATCCATTTTTAAATTATGAATTCCTGTTCTAGAATTCAAGTATTATACAAGACTTCTAACGCACAAGATTATTTGAAATCTTGATTTTCCTATATAGAAATCAGTGACAGTGAGGTGTTCAAAAGTAACAGCCAGATTCTTCCTTTTGTGCTAAAACGAGTCAATCTTGAAAGTTGTGAAAGTTTCTCAAAGAAGCTAGCAGTCAAGATAATCAAATTATCTTACTCTTTTCTTTGATATTCTCATTTGAATACACCTTTGTCAATGTTTAACAATGTTCCAGTATTTCATTTTCAATTTGTTTCATTCTAAATTAGGGCATAAGATTTACATATCGCTCTAAGTTCCTAAAATAGTCAAGCGTTTATAAAAGAAGGCTTAATAAATTCACTAATTTAAAAAAATCCTTATTTATAGTCCATGGTCAATTCCAACATTAACCCTGTCTCGATTAGACAGATTATCTATGGGATTAAAGCTACTCCTGACCAAAATACACAGTTCATTTCAAAGAGTCTGCTTTAGGAAGAGCTAGGACTAAAGCTGAATTTGTTCCCATGTGGCTGCTTTAAACTATGGAGTCCTGTTGTCATGAAACACAGGACTGCTCATTAACTTTTTAAGGGAATGCTATAGGGATTAGTTATTTTCATTCTTACAGATAGCTTCAATTTATTTTATAATGTTGAAATAGCTTGAGAACTAAAGAACAGTTCTGGATTTGTATCAGAGAAATTATTTTCTCTTTTGGGATTTTTGACTAGATTAAACAGTTGTACCCAGAAACTAGTTTTAAAAGGCCAAGATACTAGAATCTGCATAAAGCAAGACCCATAAATATACTAGATATGTAGGGAAAACCATGTCACTCAGTAAAGATGAAAATTACTTTATGCATGTCAGAAGTTGTAGCATGTTGTGATGCTAAAACAAATTTTGTTTTGAAGTAGCTGTGAAAAGAGACCAGAAACAAAGCCTTGCTGAGTACTTGTTTAAAGTAATCTCTAATTACTGGATAGACATTTGTGTGTGTTGAACACAACCCAGAATATAAACATACACCAAAATCCTATTGCATAAAGTTACATACATGTAAATGGTAAATGGATGATGTAATCATCCATGGGCTTGGCTGGTCATTTAAAAAATTGTATTTAAACCCCACCCCAGGAATTCCTTTTGACCTCAGGAAGCCTATGGGACCTCAGAATGGAAGGGGGAGCTATTAGTGCCTGAAAATCGCCACCAACAGTCATTATGAGGGGATCAGGACCATTGGCAGCAATTTGCAGGTGTTCAAGACTCCTGCGCATCCTGAGAATACCAAAAGGTTTCTTAGGTACAAAGTGATTCCAAGGGAGCTTTGCAACCTTGCGTCTGGAGGAAATAGAAGCCTTTTCATGACCAGTGAAAGCCTGTGGTTGATGACATTAGCAGCTTGCACAGGCAAAACTTTACACAAGAGAATTTTGGCCATTGGTTTTTTTTCACTTATTGATTGATTGATTGCACTTTTATCCCTCCTGATTAATGCAGAGCACTAAGGGCAGTTAACAATAAAATCAATATGAATAATTATTTCACAAAATGTAATTCATTATTTCTGAGCCAACAAAATGCATTGAATTGGATCCAGAGTTAGAGTGGGCTTGTTGAAATCAATGGGACTTAAATTAGTCATTAAATTAGTCCCATTCATTCCAGAGGGTCTGCCAAAAAAAAATAAAAATTACAACCACATCTAGAGCCAGTCCAAGCATAAATATTGTCCCATAAGTAGTGTAGTTCCGTCTGTAGGGAGATTATGATTATAATTTTTGTTATATCCCACTAAATAAATGTTGCTGGATTTAATTCCTTGAATATCAGGTCATTCTCAAAGACTTGGTAATATTCAGATTTAGATTAGGCACCCTTCAGTCTCAAGAGACTATGGTAACATGCTCTGTTACCACTTGGAACAGCGTCTAATGTGGCTGAGAAGGCCAATTTGAGAGTGACAATCCCTTCCAAACTGAAGTCAAATACAATCTGTCCCCTGTCCAGCTCCCTGATTTTGCTGCTTTCGGGACTGCCTCTTTGCCTTG